TTGTGAAGTCACAGTAAGAAGGTGACTGTCCACAGGAGATCCGCAGACCCCAATCTGCCATACTTTGGTCTTAGACTCCCCAGCCTCTAAATTTGTAGGGAATGAACTTCCATCTTTTATAAGCCATATGGTCTGTAGTTTCTGTTGGTGTGGCATCAATGGCTAATTGGAATCAATTCCAATTATAGGACATTCTGAACAATGCAAATGCTGAGGGATAGAAAACACATCTGTGATAAACTCGGGGAAAAACGGGGACGGCGCTGACTGAAAAGGGAAACAAGAGAATAAAATTTTAGTGTGTTGAAGGTATTCTGTGGCAATTACGTGAGTCTATGCATGTTTTTAAACTCATTCAACCATATGCAAAAAATCAAATGTAGTGTATATTAATTTTAAAGTAACGAATATGTTTCTAAAAGACTATAGTAGGGGCTGGAGAGATGGCTCAGCGGTTAAGAGCACTGACTGCTCTTCCAGAGGACCCGGGTTCAATTCCCAGCACCCACATGGCAGCTCACAACTGTCTGGAGATCCAGTTCCAGGGGATCTGACACCTTCACACCAATGCACATAAAATAAAGTTAAATTTAAAAAATAAAAATAAAAGACTATAGTAACAGAAAAGAATTCATAAGGCTGGCAGATTATAAACCTGACAGTTAAGACAGTGTGCTATATAATTTATTCATCACTTTATTTAAATTGATAGATTTATGTGCGTGTATAAAGGCTATAGCTACCTTGTAATAAATATTTTTTTTAAATATACTTGGCCGCTGGCTGTAGAAATACTGTGCTTGTTAAATGTTCTCCAAACACAGCTTAATGTCAGGGTCTGCCTAACTAAATGCTTGCAATTACACTATTTTATGTCCTTATGAAATCTTCATTATTATACCTTACATCATTTGTGTGCAAGAGAAAAGATATTTTTTGTTAGCACAGGATCCAACTTGAATCAGATCCAAATAAGTGCAGCCTATATGAAGCCCATCCACAAGAGAGGTGAGTTAATTCCTGAAGTGTATGGTACTCGCTGGCAGAAGCAGCGTCGCCCAGAGATGAAGGGAACTCCTCTGCTCACTCCCATCCTCATTTCTACTTCTCATTAGATTACTCTGATTTGGGGATATAGATGAGGTGTGTGTGTGTGTGTGTGTGTGTGTGTGTGTGTGTGTGTGTGTATGTATGTCAAAACAACATGGCAGTGAGGAGACTTGAATTTGTGAGTGTACCTTCTTTTTCCATCCTGGAACAAAGCCAAGAAATACACTCTACTGCCCTTTTGCCAACTTTAACACAATTGGCCAGTGGTCTCTCTTTCTTCTTCCACTTTGCCTTTTTCTATAAATAGACAAGAACACTATGATACCTGCTATGGGATAATCTTTTGTACACTGTGAAGATGTGTCTTTGCCAAGGTGCCTTCTGACTGGCTTAATAAAAAAGAGAAATGGTCATTCGCTAGACAGGGAGGTTTAGGCAGGAGAGTCATACAGAGAGAACTCTTGGAAGAAAAAGGGCATAGTCACCAACCGGGTGGAGAGGAAGCAGCACAGCCTTTACAAAGTAAAGGTAACTGAACCACGTGAAAGAACATAGATGAAAAGATATGAGTTATATGAGCTAGTTAAAAACAAGCCTGGTTGGTTGGTATGTAAAATAAAATTTAAAATTTAATAAAAAAAATGTCAGCTATTGGCCAAGCTTTTATAATTAAGAAGTCTCTGTGTGGTTATTTGGGAGCTGAAAGGTGGGACAGAAAAATCCTCCTACAAGATACCCCTACTCCAAACACCTGAGACACTGCGTGGAAGTCCAGAAATCATACAGTACTTTCCCACTTCCTAAACAGTAGCTATTGCTATGCCCACAGACAGGTGACGTGGGTCAGTTTAGCATCACAAATGGAAAACAAAGTCCCTTTCCATATTGGTGCATCAGTGATGTCTCCCTTCTGGCGTGGTCATTCACACTTGGAAAGTTTCTCACACTGCTATGGAAATATTTTTAACTTCAGTTCTCTGTTACTTCAGAGACGGTAACAGAATGAATGGGGAAAGAAACACAAGGCTTCTTTTACCCATGTGACCCATGGCTCAACCTCTGTTTGAGGGTGTTCTGTCAGTTCCAGCAGAGAAATTGATATGCCTTACTGCTCATTCACTCACTGGCTTTGTGTACCTGCCATACGAGGCACGAGAAATACAACTTAATTAAATCCTCCTAAGTTACAGTGTTTATTAATCATGTAAGAGAAAGGAAATATGTGGAATTTATTTTTCTGTTCTTGTCAAACTGAGGAAAACTACTCAAGGCTCTTGCCCAACCGAAACCTTGTTTCTTCCGATGCATAGATACCAAGACATTAAAATGCACACGTGGTTCACAGCGAATGGCAAGAGCAACTTCTAACTACGGTCACACGGAGCTCCATCCTGGTGCATTGCTAGCCTGAAAGTGGCTTCGCTTTTCCCCTTTGCGTGTGAGGTAGGCAGAGAGAGAGTCAAGCCTGCAGAAACAAGGCCAGAGCTAGAACCCAGGGTGCCTGTTTACTTCTGTGAAAATCCAGTAAGAACACAATACACACTAGACCAATTTTAGGATTGGCTGGTTGCTAATTTTTGAGTAATCATAGTTAATGAGTCTCCTTGGCGTATTAGGTTAGCTTGGAGGAGTGTGATGGGAAACATTCTCCTTAACTCAGAGAGAAAAAAAAATGTGTAGAGTCCCAGTCTACCGTGATTTGGAAGAATAACAAACCAACAGTGAAGTTTTAATGGCGTTCAGAAATCAATCACTCTACTGTTTTCCTTCCAGAATGATGGAACCACAGGGTTCGGAAGCGCATGGGCAGGAAGCTCAATGGCGATAAGATATTCTTAGCTCCCGAATGCTTGTACTTTTCAAGAAAACCTCAAAATTGGGGCAAGGGGGAGACATGAGGAACGTTTTCCACGTTTCTGCACCTGTCCTATTCAGGCCAGTTTCTGAATTTTTTTGGGCAGATATGAATCATCACTATTTCCTCCACAGCAATCAACAGAAACTACAAACTTGAAAGTTAAACGGGAAGGCCAGCTCCTGCTCAAATCGCGAGTTGCTTGAACCCAGACTGCCCCTCCAGAAAGGGTCTGTCATGCATTACCCTGCCCCCACCCCTTCATTTGTAGAGAAAATGTCTAGCTAGCATCCTATCCTATCCGTAGCCATAGCACCAGACACAGCTCTGCCTCCACCTCTGTAGCTGGGGGAGGGGGGGGGGTGACGCCTCAGGAGGAAAGGCTCCAAAGACTTGGTGAAACAGGCAGAGGCTGAAGGCAGACAGCTTCAGCTCAGCCTGGCCAGACTGTCTGGAATCAACCTCCACGGAAGTGGTAAAGCCAGGTGTACTCACTTTGCACGGTGCCTAAAGTCACAATGAGATGCCAGCAAGGAAGCTAAGTGTTTTCTGAGGTTGGAAATGGAAACCCAAGCTTCTTCCCAATTCACTGACCCTGGACTGCCTGTCTGTCCCTCACATACCCAGCCTCCACTGCACTCCCCTTGAGTTACCTGCTTTGGGAAGGAGAAGGACTCTTGGGCATTCCTCTAAAGCAGGGGGTTCTCAACCTTCCTAATGCTGAGACCCTTTTAACAGCTCCTCATGTTGTGGTGACCTCGACCATAAAATTATTCTCGTTACTTCATAGCTGTAATTTTGCTACAGTTATGAATTGTAATGTAAATAACTGATATGCAGGATATCTAATATGTGACCCTTGTGACAGGGTCCTGTGAGCTCCCCCAAGGAGGGTCACGACCCACAGGTTGAGAGCTGCTACTCTCCTACACTACCTGTGGTAACTTGGAGCTAAGATAGACTGGATCCTGCCGGCTGAGCTAGCCTCCTGAGGACATGCGGTGGAGGGTCGTCGACAGATGGACAACTTCCTCTTGTTTTATTTCAGCGATCATTTTTTAAAGCCAAATCAAATTCCTTCCTTTTAGAAATGCTTTATTTTTCTTTTCCAGTGTCCGGTTCCCTGGCCAGGACATATTCAAACCTGTTTCTCAAATTAAAGATACCTAACGAATCTATAGAGAGTCAACCCCTGTGTGTTTCCGGCTGCCTGTTGTCCACTGCCCTTAAATAAAAGTACAGCCTTAAAAATAAAATAAATAAAAAAGAAGGGGAGAAGAGGGCCAGGGGAGAGGGAAAGGAGAGGAAAAGTTAGAAAGGGGAAAGATAAAAATAAAAACACAGGCAGACAGACAGACGAACTTTAGGTCTAAAAATGTCAACTCTGACTATGGTCCACGATTTAGCTTTCCCTTGGATTCCCTCATTCTGCCCCTCGCCTCTCCTGCTCCACGCACACACATCAACCTCAGATAACTCTGACTCCTGGTCAAGTTGTAGCCTTTACAGCAGCAAGAGGACCAAGGTCCTTCGCCACCTGCCCCCCAAAAGGCACTGCAAGAGCCCGCGGCGCCGCAGTAGCCGCCGCCTCCTGCTGCAGTCCGGACAGAGTTTCAGATCGAAACCCTGAGAGCTAGCGCTCCTCTGCCGCTCGCCCTGCTTGCCCTGGCTCCGACCTCTTTCTCGGGAGGCCCGGAGGAAGCGGGTCACTTTGCCACCTCTGAGGCTGGGGTGGAGCAGCAGCGGCAGAGACTCCCACTGCAGGAGCCCGAAGCCGAGTACCCTTTGTCCAACTCCCCGCCCGCACGTCCGCGAGGCAGGTCCGGTGCTTCTGGCGAGAGGGGTCACTTGCCAAGGTGCTGGGTGCTCACTGGGGTGCGGGGATTCAGGTGGGATGGTGAGGAGGAGAGGCTAGGGATTGCCGGGGAATAGTTGGGGCGGGTAGGGAGAGGGGCGACTAGGTGCTCTTCCAACCCTGGCCACCGCAACTCCGATGCGCGTCGTGCCGTCTTAAAGGCCTTTCCTTTCCCTGGGCGCTCGCCTCCCGCCCCGCTCCCCGCCTAGACGTCTGCGGGAAAAGAAGGTGTAAGAGTACCTGGAGCGAATACCATGACTTCCCTCAGCCACTTCGCTGGGTTCAGACAAGTGGGCCAGCCAGAGGGCGGGAGCCGCCCGGGGACAAGGATCCACGCGCGAACCGGAGCAGGCGGGCGCGCGGGCCGCGGGCGGGCGGGACGGTCAGCACCTCGGACAGCTCCCCGCGCGCGGTCCCGGGCTGTGGCTCAGCGCTGGGCGCGCGCTGCCTCCACAATGCACCGCTGCGCCGCTGGCGGGAGGAGGAGACCCAAGCCGGCTCAGCTCATCCTTGGTCCCCGAGCCAGCTCGGCGTTCTGCCGCTGAGGGAGCAGGGCGCTTCTACCGCTTTCATCCGAACAGGAAGGACGGAAGAGGAAGCCAGAGAGAAAGGTAATTGCCCGGTTTCCCGACAGGGGCACGACTAATTGCTTCTAATTACCTGCTGTCACTCACCCCCAGGGATGCCGGGCTGACATTTAAGATGAGTTTGCCCCTTTCTCCACGTCGCACTGGAGTTTACTCCAGAGGCTAACTAAATCTGAGTTCTCGGAGTCTGAGTTCTCTGAACAGAAGGCAGGGACCGCCAAGTTAACCCATCTTTGGTGTTCGCGACTTCTCTGGCTGTCCCAGGCCTCTCCAAATGTCAGCAAGAGAGCCAAAGGAGAAAACCAGGATGACTGCAGAGTGCGTGAGGAGGGTGCCTCTAATGAGCCCTGCTCCCGGGTGACAGCTCGGTCAACTCCCGTAATTGCAGGTTCTCAAGGTCACAGCCTCCGGAGAAAACGGCAAAAGCCAGGGCAAAGGAAAAGTCCAGATTAGACAGGTCTTGTACAAACTCAAACTTCCGCAGAACCAACATATCCCTGAGATGGATTACAAACCCAAACGCTTGCCCAGAACTAGCTCAGTTGGTAGCTACTCCCTTTCTTCACACCTGGCTCCACCCTAAAGATACCAGGACGTACCGGCTGATCTGTGCAGGTTCCTAATCCATTACTCACTAGAAAATATCTGTGCGATGTGGGCAACCCATATTAGATGTCACCAGCTTGCAGCAGGTGCGTGTGGGTTCTGATGCCAGAGTCAAACCACGGAAGGATCCACTTGCCTTGGCTTTTAGCCTCCATGTCTGCCATTGAGTGAGGTTGCCCAAGCGCAAAGGCCGTCAGAGCAGTCTCTGGAGATCTTTGGGCATTCTTTACCTTTCTCTGGAAACAGTCTAGGTATTCTGAACACACCGTATTAACAATTTGGTTGGAGCCATGAGCTCTACTCTGCTTTGGCAAAGGTAAGTGTTCAAATAGCCAGGCTGGCGCTGGGTTTGCTCAAAGCCATAGCAGGTGGAAAATACAAACGGTTTCACAGCTTTTGAACTACAGCGTTTGTAAAGGCAGATGAGCAGCTTCAACACCATACAACAAGAACCGCTCTTAGCGCCTGGTGCCATACAGGCTGAAACAGATGGCGACTGCCTCAAGACAGCTGGTGGGCAGGATAAATGATAGGCACGGAGGGATGGAAACCTCTCATACCCCAAAGTTACACTCACACCCCGGGGCCAAAGATTCTTGACCTCTCTTGTTTCAGCACCACGGTGCCACCTCGGTACCTTCACCATTTACTCACTGTGTGACCTTGGATACATCACCCAATTTCTCGTCTTATCTGTCTATAAGGACAAAGGTAGCTGGAAGGTTTGCTGTGTAAACTCTCTGAAATATGGATTGTGAGTTGAGTTTAAGAAAAAGTAAGGGGGTCCGGTGTGGTGGTGTGTGTTTCTAATCCCAGCACTTGGGAGGCAAGCAGATCTCGCGATTCCAGGACAGCCAGAGCTACACAGTGAGACCCCGTTTAATAAAGAGAGGGGAGGAGGGAGAGAAAAAGAGAGAGAGAGAGAGAGAGAGAGAGAGAGAGAGAGAGAGAAGTATGACCCAATTAAACTCATTCCAAAAATCACTGACACCCTGGGGAAAGAAATTAGTAGATTGGTGCCTCATGGATGCTAATGTGCCCGTGAGTCCCACGGGGATCGCGTTAAACTGCAGGCAGTGAGTCAGTAGGCTACTGTAGATCCCGAGAGTCTTTATTTCTCATTAGTTTCAGGTAATGTCCATTCTGCAGGCCCTTGTGCTATCCTCTAGTAGCCAGGTAGCAGGCATACCAGCATTTAAAAAAAAAAAGTACTTACACCTCCCTCAAACCAAAACTTATCTTTTTAAGCATTAAACAGAAAAGGAACAAAGTCCCACAGAATGCTAGACTAGACAGTAGCCAGAATAGCAGGGGGGTTTAAATCATAATAAATAAATAGAAGCGTGTCTGAAGACGGATCCATGTGTTCTCTTTTTCATGAGCCCAAAGTGGCAATTATATGGAATACGATTGAACAGAAACCAGAACAGCAGATCAATGCTAACCAACGATTCTCAGCCCATCTTCCTCCATAAGAGTTACAGACCCTGTCCTTTCCTGAATCACCTCCTCATTGCCCTCCCCCAACCAAATACCACACTGCTATCCAGCTAGAAGACAGACAGTACTGAAAAGTTGCTTCACCCCAATAAGCGTCTCTACTGAACCAATAATCTGTCCGAATCAGACCAAATAAGGCAGAATTAGAAAAAGCCCAGGTTTAATGAATACAAACGTTCCTGATGGCTTTCCAGCCCCTCAGGCAGGAGACAAGAAAGGAAGACCAGAAGACCACGTTTGTTCTCTGAGGGCAGTTTAAATACCCTGTGGGAGTGGTCCTGCGCATCTGTGGGAGGGGCCATCGTTTGGTGAGCTTTTTTAGGGGCGGAGTCTGTACTGAGGAAGCTCCAGGGAAGGGGGCTAGGGATAGAATTTCCATCCTAACAAACATTCCAGACTTTTTGAACATATGGATGCCAGGGGCTGGAGTAAAGCCTTCAGCCAGACAAGTATGTTTTTAGTCAAAGGGTGTGTGTGTGTGTGTGTGTGTGTGTGTGTGTGCGCGCGCGCACACACAAATTTTACTTCTACTGAGGATCATTCCAGGGCCTCACACATTGCCAGCAGTGGCTGTACTGCCAAAATATAATTGCAGCTCCTGTATATAGTTTAGTCACGACAATTAGTATTGTTCTTTAAAAACCCAAGTTACTTCAGTGATGCTTTGGTTTCTTCCAAAGATTTCAGTTGCAGATCTCACTCAACATTACCTCTAATTTGCACCACACCCACAATAATTCTGCTGATTTAATTTCCTTATTCTGATATAGCTTCTAGATTTTAATATCTTCACATCTTTTTTTTTTTTTTTTTGATTTTCGAGACAGGGTTTCTCCATAGCTTTTTGGTTCCTGTCCTGGAACTAGCTCTTGTAGACCAGGCTGGCCTCGAACAGAGATCCACCTGCCTCTGCCTCCCGTCACATCTTGATATAAATGATATATTTAATAAGTGAATACCCAGTATGATGGTTCTTCCCTTTTAGTCTACCATAATAGGAGCCAGAGTCCTTGACAGATCGTTTGCCCAGACTTACCCGACAGCTGAAGCTTGAGTTCTTGGTGTCTTTTCCCTCTGCCTCTGTTTGAACACCTCCACGCATGGCAGCTCACTCTACTCAGACGGCCGTTCTACCCACGAGGGACTCATTGCTACCATCTACCATACTCTGACTTTCATAGTCATTTCTGCTCAGTAATGGAAGCAGCAATAAAATGTAAGACAGTAAGCAAGCGATAATGGATGCCCAACTTTCAATTCCAGCACTGAGTCCATCACACTGGGCACTCTCCCTTCCAGAGGTGCTTGGCAAGGCTCTGGAAGGGCTAAGAGGTACATGTAGAGGACGATCACCTCACCAAAGCTATTGGGAACTTGGGAGAGTTTTTGGCTTATAATACATATGGAAACTTTTTTTTTTTTTTTTTTTTTTTTTTTTTTTGCTTTTTCAAGACAGGGTTTCTCTGTCGTTTTGGAGCCTGTCCTGGAACTAGCTCTTGTAGACCAGGCTGGTCTCGAACTCACAGAGATCTGCCTGCCTCTGCCTCCCGAGTCCTGGGATTAAAGACATGCACCACCACCACCCGGCTACATGGAAACATTACTAAGTAAGAAGCAGAATACTTGGGATACACAAACGCGAAATAATAGATTCTGGAAAAAATTCACTGCAGGCCACCTGGAGCTGTATCTCTTGGGTTTCTCCAGACCTTCCTTTATCATGCTTCTCTTCTACTCTGCACTAGAGCTTTGACAAGTAGAAAATGTTACAATCCCTTTCCAGAACACACCTAGGCCCCCAATAGTGGGGCAATGTGGTTCCAGACAAACCCTGATTCTTCTCACGCAATACTCATTTTAAATACATTATCCAATCAACTAGACTTTAAAATAATTGTTCACCTCTGGGAACTATTGATGTAGATTGAAAAGAGGCATTTTCATTATGAGAAATTAAGCCATAGTTCTTTCCAAAATGTCTGAGCATACCAGTTTTGAATTATTACAGAAATAAGATGCTGGGAATGAACAACATTCTTCCTCTCCTAAAAGTCACTTGAAGCTGTTGAGTTGGCCCGAAGGAAGGACAGGGGGTGATGGAAAGCACAATGAAAGGGAATGCGTATGTGCTACTGAGACACAGGAATAAGAACTGAAGAAGGCACAGAAAACTGATTGTTATACTTTCTGGTCTGTAAAGACACAAGAAAACTAAAGCAAAACGACACAGCAAAAAGAAAGACATCATCAGAGAGCAATAAGGGGAGGAGAGAAGATGGAATAAAGGAAAATAATGACATTAGGAAATGTTAAGGCATTTTTCAGGCTTGAAGGATGCAGAGTAATGCCTTTGCAGGTTTACATTTATGAGCCAGTTTATGAGCCCTGTGAGACACTTTAAAATGGGAACTCATCATAGCTTCTGAAAGGGAAACAGCGAAACCTTCATATTGGATAAATTATATTGGAAAAGTTAAAGTTTTACATTGTGCTCGCAGAAAATGGATAATTTCCTGGAGAACGTCAACTTCATAGAAAACCCTTTTCCCCTGTCAGTGACCTATCAGCCCATACTCATTTCTGTAGGTAAAATACTCCTGAAAGCAAAACTGTCTATTCCACTAGATAACATGGATGGAAAATGAGACAGTCTAGGAGGCATGGGTGGGAAATGAGACAGCATGGACCAACTTCCT